TATAGATAAATGCGCGCTGTTAGACGCATATCCAATCGTTTGTGTGGAGAGTGGAAAATTAGGTTGGAAACAACCTAAATACGCCGTCATTTTTTCTCATAAAGGTAAGAATAATACATCACTCGGAACTGTAAAGGGTCTACTTTTATTTTTGTGTGCTCACAATATCAACAAAACGTTGTACTTTTATAAAATAAATAGGAAAGCAGGGGATGCGCATTCTGCCGTCTCGGTCTTGTACAGGAGCGCTGAATGATGAACTGAAACTCAGCGAATTGCCTCACAGACATGATATATATATATATATATAGAAAGCTTTAAATTACTACTTTAAAACGAAATAATTATAATCTGGCCAGATTATAATTTGCGTTTTATTTGTATTATTCTGTCAAATAATATCTATATATCTGTTCTACATATCGCAATTTTGTCTGATATGTGAATTATTTATTTGCCTATTAATATTTTTAATCCATGGTACGCTTTAAAAACCGATTTAAAAATGACTTTATTGCATTCCAGATGCTTTTAAATAACTTTTCACTATACATTTTACGGGTAGCTTGAATATAAAACATTGTCATGAATTTCTTGTATTCCCATTTGTAAAATAGCTTAATTAATTGTTGTAGGCTAACCCGATCTCATGATGAAGGTGCTTATAGCTCGATTTTCTGTTTCTATTTGGCATAATATTTATATGTAAAAATTGACTTTGGCGTGCAAAAGATAGATTCATAATTGATGGCATGGCTGGTTCAGTCGAAAGAAATACGGGACACATATAGCTACTAACTGCTGAAATGTTTGCAAGGCAAATCTCAGGTCAGTCTGAGCGCTCATGGTACACAGCCTTGAACATGCCTTCAGCCATACATACTGCAGGCGCCACTGACAGTAAGTTCAGCAGTACAGCAGGTAAGTAGGCCTACAGCAGCATGCAGGAAATGGTTGAGTATTCTTTTAGGTTCAAAATATCTTTATTGTAGCCCAATGCTTGTAATGTCCATTTATAGTCTTTACACAGAGCCTTGGCTCCTTAAATGTTTAAAAAACAGCTAATTTCAAGACGTGATGTCACGTCTGGTCGTCACGTGGGTCACCCGCAGTGTAAGACGCTCAAGACGTTCGGTTTGACGTTCGATCGGTCGTTGATTTTGGCACGGAGTGCGCGCCATAGTTTTTATATTTTATATATTTAAAGTGAGTTTTTTGGGCAGTGTAGAGTAGGGCTTGTTGTTTGTCATTTCTCCGATCACAAATGCAGACATGGTTTTATGTTTACGCGGCGCGATGCAACGCAACCGTAAAAAGACAGCATAAGTCATTATAATCCATAATTATGTCCCCACTGGATGCAACGAATGCCTCGTTTATAATGGGTTTTCATGTTTTTGAATCATCGCTCCGGCCTGACGGGGCATCATCACAATATGGTGAGGGGCGTAACATTTCCGTCTCACGCTTGAGGTATTCGGCCAATCACAACATACTGGATAGCTGGCCAATCACAGCACACCTCGCTTTTTTAGAACGATGAGCTTTGTAAAAATCGACGCGTTTCAGAAAGGCGGGGCATAGAGGAGAAACAATAATGTACAGTATGTGGAAAATAATGTGTTGTTTTAAACTTAAACCGCATAAACACATTTCATTACCAAATACACAAAATAATGTTATTTTTAGCAGCATCATATGACCCCTTTAATTATAAAACATTCAACTGATAATTTGTGTGGTTTTAAACAGACAAGTTGTGTAACTGGTGTCGAACCCTATAAAAGACAGCTGTGACAAATGTTTGTCTCAGACTGTGCGATGGCTTATCTCGCGTTATTTGAAGATTTGGCAAACAATGCGCTCCGTAGAGAACGCATTTACAAAAACCACATGTGGGATTTATCAACAATGATTGCTTGAGCTCAAGTTAAAAAATATAGATGTGAATCATTACCCTAATTTTTTTTTATTGGATGAATTAAAAAAAAATTCAGTGTTCTTAAAGCATTAATCTCACAACATTTTCATATATATTTTTTTAACGCTTAAGCTTTCACATTTTTAAAAGTTTTAAATAATTGTTAAAAGTGCTAAATAAGTAAATATATCTTCAAATTTATGTATTGAAAGATAAATACTGAGTAGATACTGATTAAGACAGTTTGGTAATTTTTTACAACAGGATTTCCCATTTTCATTTAGTTTATCTTGATGTTCTAAAATAACTAACACTAAAACTGAAATAAAATGTAATAACTATACAGAAAATCAACTAAACTAATAAAAACAACTGAAAATGACAGCAGAAAATATAAAAATAATTCAATATATTAACAAAAACTATAATAGCACATGAATGATACTAAAATAACATTGCTTTACAATAAAGTGTCAGTGTAAGATGTATACGATAGGGCTGAAACGATTAGTCGACATAATCGACAACGTAGGCAATAAAAAATGGTCAATATTTTTGTTGTCGAGTAGTCGTGTGATCTCATGTGACCTAATGTAAGAGCCTGCAATAATGCGGTTTGACAAGTGTGGCGCTGTAGCGCAAGACTAAAGTGATATCTTGGTTTGCAGAGATCAAAGCTTGATCTAGCTCAGGACTGTTTTGATTATCATAAACCTCAAACCTGTAATGTATTTTAAGAGAGATTATGTTGTGAACAAAATAGTTTATCCAAAAATAAAACTTACCTCTTACCTTTATTTTGTTTCTTATTCATATGACATAAAAGCAGATGTCAGGATGTCATTCAGTTACTTTTTTATTTAGCTAATGAAATGGTGAATGAGAGAGTTTCTCTGTCATCTCATTTTGTGTGCCAAATATATTACGATGGGGGGTGGGGGGGTTATGGGGGGCCCCTCTTTTGAAAATCTGCTTAGGGCCCGTAAAATGCTAGGGCCGACCCTTTGTGTGTGTGTGTGTGTGTGTGTGTGTGTGTGTGTGAGATAATTTCGTATTGCTTAATATATCCTCCATGTAATTTCATTGTAAGGAAAACCCTCAGCTCAGCAGGTGGAAAAAAAACAAACAAGGATCAGCCCAACCTTAACCTGCAGATGGAGCTATTTCTGCAAAAGATTGAAGCTCAATGCAAATAATCAGCCACAAAATGAGACTAGAAACGCTTTGAAGTCATTTAAAGCATTTTAAAGTTGAAGTGCACCATCACACAGTAAACTCTGCAGTTGGGACAGGTGTATAAATGTGTGATTTTTTTTTTTATTATTATCACATTTTACATGAAGTGTGCAATAAATCTTTGTAATCTATTTTTGATTTCCACTAACTGCTCTTTAAAAAATGTGGTAAATGGACTGAATGAATTATATAATTTGCTTATTTTGTTTAATAAGTAAAAAGCATTTATATCAGAATAAAAATAATAAGCTAAATACTGAAATGCACAAATACTAAAATTTGTTGTTACCAAATTTTGCAAAGCATGAAAATTTGTATTAAAAAAAAAATGAAATAACATACAAAGGCACTGATGCATTAGTAGCAATATGAGAAAGTCCCAATAGCTCCAGTAACTAATATGATTTCATGAACAGAGATAGTGGGTGAGTCATATGGCCCCTCCCTCTTTATTTGACTCCTCCCCCACATCATCATAATCTGTTTTTAAAAACAAAAGCAAATTCACATTTTTCATTGTTAGAATTTCATCTAGATTTAGTTTAAATGAGAAATGTAAACATTATAAGGATATAGTTATAAAGTATAAGGTGACAATAACCTACCTAGGTTTTTCCCATCTTCATTGCTGTTCTTCACATCATCATACTCCTCCTGATCTCCCTCTGATACACATGCAAAACAAAACCTCACATTGCAATTTGTAATATAGCTTGTCATGTCATAGACATCTCGAGACTATTGGATAAAACCTGATAAAGCCATGATGATTCATTAATTGTAACGTAATCATAGAAATATATAACAACTATTTATTATGTAATATGTAAAAAACCAGAGTGAATCTATTTAGACAGACTGTAAACCAAGTTTTGTTTTGTTTTCATTTTCAATAAGGTATATGTCGAACGTCACCTGACCAAACCCGGAAAACAGGTCTCATTGCTTCCGCTTGTCGGAGAACGTACTAACAGCCATAATAGATAATAGCGATATCTATGGACTTTTAAGATAATCGGTTAAACTAGCTAGCTGTTTTTATTGTTGACGTTTAATTAATTGTTTTTATATAAATGTTAGTGAAAAGTGAAAAAACTTTTAGATATCATTGGTTATGATAATCTTTGGTATCTACTTTGAAGGCACCTTGAGTAAAACGGCTTCATATTTAACGAAGCATATGCAAAACGCTTGAACCAGAAGCGGCGAGACCCGGTTAACAGAATACGGAATCTGTTGCGCATAACCCCTATACAGTACAAACGTTACTGTCGCTCGTCAGTGGCAGCTGTCATAGTTGCTGTGCGATAAGTGCAATCCTCCATAGACCATCCCATTTAAGAATTCTCAGTTTGACCTTCACTCACTTCGAAGGCCAAAATCTGGTTTTGATCTTGTAGGTGGGCTTTTTGCCTTAAAAGTTTCACTATTTTTAGACCATGAGCTCTTTTTTTTATTTTACTGCACTGCGTCTTGCTTTTTTAAAAGCTCAAATTCATTCTGTGTGATCAACCCCTGTTTATTCAGCTCACTGCATTTCAGAGATAATTCACACTGCAACAACATACGATGACGATCATCAGATCATATTCAGTCCATGGAAACAATGAAAACTAATGGCAACAGATACTGACAGGGAGACTCAGTGATCCAACAAAACCTGACAAGTGTGCCTGTTACGTTGGTTGGCATCTGTCAGTGCAGTTTAAACTCATTTTATGTGACTGGCCTTTTTTATAGCAACTGTTGAACAGTCAGAAGTTTTCAATAAACTGCATTGACTCAAAGAGCTGATGCAATCGTTCGTATCATATTTTAACTTATTTAAAAATACATTGTGTTTGGGGAACTAAGTTAGTTCTTTATCTTTTCCAACTCAAATGCACCTAATATGAAACTGCTTATCACTATCGAAAATTTCACACAGGAAGAAACTTTCACTGGCACACACACAAACATGCAGCTTTGTGGTTTGGAGCCTGACTCATCTACAAATTCATCTGATTACACAAACATAAAGATAAACAGTTGCACCCATCTGACATTCTCAGTTCAGAGACTTTAATTGAAATATTGAAATGTTACGTTTTGTATGATTAAAATTGACAAGGTAGATGTGAATGATAGAAAAAGCTTTAATTCTACAGTGGATCAGATCTGTATCACTGAAGTCTCCCATCATTTAATCTCATTTGACTGGAGTCCCAAAGTTTAATTTACTTTGATAGCCTTTTCTCGCAACGGTTTTCATAATTTTTAAACACATAAATCGTAAAATAATTAAAGCTTTTAACATTCTTCCATGATGCCTCACCCTGCTGAGTGAAGTAATGTTGTCTGTGATGAATCTCGTGATAAATGGCCTCAGTGTGTGTCCTGTGTAGTTCTGTGTACCAGTCAGAGAGAGCTGTGAGTGCAAACAGACAAACCTGCTGTCAGTTCACAACACATGACTGATCACACACTGAATAAGACACAATATGACAGTCTCTGGATCTCACCTACCTCTCCTCATCACTCTCTTTCGCTGAATCAATATAAGCAGTGGCACTAAGAGCAGTAAAAGCACAACTCCCAGTACAATCACAAGCACTGGGGGGACAGAGAGAGACCCTGCTAAAACATGAAGAGAACTGAACATTAGGATACAAGGGACATAACATCTTTCAGTGAAACATATCAGTGTGAAAACATATAATTTAAGCCACACAAATCATTTTATGCTCTTTCCATCAGCTAAGTGTAGCTTTTCTTAAACATTTGTTTACTCACGACATATAATCATTGTGTTTAAAGAAACATCCTGACAGATCAGACTTGCTGTGTCGCCGTCCATCTGGTTCCAGCACACATTACCCCAGGATCCATTGTAGAAAACCTCCACATTCCCTTCACAGCCCTCACTTAACCTGATCTCTTTAAACTCTAGATGAAAATGTAAAATATAATTTTAAAATACAAAAATTGAAAAACCTGGGCATTATGGATTTGTGAATGTGTTCAAACACATTATTGATCACGAACAACTGAAAAATCTGTCCAGATGTTGTTTTTCTCACCAAGGCAGGTGATTGACAGCTGTTGTGTGGAGCTGCAGTTGAGAGTTTGTGGAGAGCTGCAGTTCCCCAGATGAACTTCACTCCCAGAGCACTGGAAGCCCGTCACACACTCATGACTGTGTTCAGGACTGGATGAAGAGGAGCCGTAGAAGTTCAGCACAGAGCCACAGCCCAGCTGTCTGCAGACCACAGAGGATTCAGTGAGACTCCGGGAGTCCAGCAGAACTCTCCTCCAGACCTGCTGGATGAAAACCTCCACCTCCCCCTCACACTGTCTCTCTCCAGACAACCGCACCAGACCATCATGAAGAGCCAGAGAGGAATCTGAGTGAAAGATCTGATATTTTACTGAAATACTGCTAAAGTTAAGTTAATACTGCTTTAAATACTGTTAAAGACCACAGAGGAACATTTATGTAAAATATGCTTTATATCAATACTACATTTTATATAAGTAAATTTGAAACTTAAATGACACAAGCATTAATCTTCAGTCTAAAATGTATATGGAATAAATATTGTATTTTGGAAATGATTAAGTCTTCCAGTCAGTAAATAACAGTAATACGGACTCACTAGAGCAGATGACTCCAACATCTCGTCTATGAGAACATTCAGCTCGACTCCATGAAGAGATGGAACATTCTGAGAGTTTAGTTTCATTACCGTCACAATCAAACACATCAGCCCTTTGGAGATCACTTCCCTCTCCAAACCAGTCTGATCCCACAACAGACACAGCAATCCCACAATTCAGCTGTCTACAGAGGACACTGGCAGCTCTCACATCCCAGCATGCATCACACACTGTGCCCCATTTACTTAAGTACTGATGTTCGACTCGACCAGAACAGATGTCAGGGCCGTTTACCAGTCTGAGATCAGTGTAACCTGGACAGACAACACAGTTCTTACTGAAATCAAATACAAAAAAAATTATAAAAAATAAAAAAACAAGAGAACAGAGATAATCTGAGTAATTCTGTGTTCTAATCTCTGATTTCTCATATCCCAGCATGCATCACACACTGTGCCCCATTTACTTAAGTACTGATGTTCGACTCGACCAGAACAGATGTCAGGGCCGTTTACCAGTCTGAGATCAGTGTAACCTGGACAGACAACACAGTTCTTACTGAAATCAAATACAAAAAAAATTATAAAAAATAAAAAAACAAGAGAACAGAGATAATCTGAGTAATTCTGTGTTCTAATCTCTGATTAATATGGTCAAATATGTCAGAGTGTGGTATTGAGCAATCTAATTAGTTTTAGATATCAATGTAACAAAATGTGTGATGCTAATTAATTCATTATTGAGATAAACATCAGTTCCTTTAAATATTTTTTTATAATAAAACATTTAAAGAAATTAGACTGTCTTACCTAAGCATGTGACTCCAGCATCTTCATCATGATCACAGTCACTAACACCCCATCCTCTTGATGCACAGTTCCTCAGTGTAGACTCTGATCCAGTACAGGCCACATCATCCATCCAGATTGGTCCTGATCCTGGTCCAAAGTGAGCATCACCCAGAGCCTCTACAGCCTCTCCACATCCCAGCTCTCTACACACCACTTTAGCATCAGTCATATCCCAGTCATCATCACACACTATTCCCCACTGACCATTATGATGAACCTCCACTCTACCACTGCAGGGACTGTTACCACCAACCAACCTAACAGTCTCAAAATCTGTACAAAGAAGATAGAAAGGTATTTAACCATCTACAAGAAGAATATTGCAATGTTGAGAAACATAAGATATAAAAGTTAGTAAATACAAATATATATATGTACTTCAAGATAGACGAGAGATATATACAAATAATCCTTTTATTAAATTGTTATCCTGTAAAAGCTCAAATTTAACTGACAATTAATGAACTATTGTCATGAGATATAGTTTGTAGATACTACACAGGCATCTATTCAGTTTCTAGTGATATAAGGCCAACATAGATAAACTTCTCATTTAAACAAGTATAATTTCACCTCTTACTGTCTATTTTGTACTTACCAGATGTGGTTAGAGTGAATATGGAGGAGAATAAAACGAGTGTCAGGCATCCCTCCATCTTCTTCTGCTCGTCTCACCGTCTATTTGACCGTTAGCACAAGTTCCACAAGTTCCCAAGCTCTGCTCCCTCAAACACACTGAAGAAACTGGCTCCTGTCAGCCCCCTAAAGAGAGAGAGAGACTCACAGCTGCCAATGACACTCACTGATACCTTATTAGACAGAACAGAGGAAATCATCAAACACAATCAGTGACAAATCAGAGAGCAGCATTTTTATTTTCTCCATATATATCAATAAAGTGTGAGCGCTGATGAGCGGGACTCCTCCTCCAGTGTGAAGAGACACTTCACTGAGGACAGACTCGTGTCAGTCATAAGTCAGTGTGGAGATAAATTCACACTAAACTTAGAGCAGATTGACACAGAAACACTGCAGCTTATATTCAGCATCAAAACCTGAACCTGAACACAGCAGATACAAGCACTGATGACTGACTGCTCACTTACTGAAACTTCATTTCACAGACAGATGCTATAAATATATAAATTATAGTCAATTTAACATTTGATAATTATTTTCATTAAAAGAACTACATTGTATCCATAATATTAAGTGGATTTTACTAGTGTTATGATGTTCTAACCAAGAACACAATAAATAGCATGCTGATACTAGACTTTATGTGTACAACAAATAGAGGGCTATTTAGACAAAATTTGTAAATAAACATTGTTTTCTGATCCAAAGATATTCTTTTGGCATCATATCAAGGCTTTTGTGGGTGGGAGTCATACTGCTTTGAGTAATTCATCCAGCAGATGGGAGCAAAGCACTTATTTTAAAAACGAGCAAACAAGAGTCTTGTGTCACCACATGAGGGAGCCTCTCACTGGTGAACATTTTATCTGGACATAAATTGTTAATTTCTCTAATCATAAAAACTATAAAACTTCTTGGATTTTTTAAATGAAAAAAAAGAACATGATTTTTTTGTGTTAAAATCTTTCCCTAGAACAACAAACTTACAAAGGGGGCTGCAGCACGACTTAAAACAATTTGAATATATTAATATAATTTATAATACCGGTAATAATAATAAATATGAATAAAAATATGAATAAGAAAAATCATCATCATCATTAATATGATGATAAATATGATTAAATACATTTTATTTTACATTAGATTAATATTATTGCAATAGTATTTAGTTTAAATAATATAATATAATAAGAGGGGAATTTACAGGTTTTCCATCTTTTTTATCTCTTGCCTGTTTGTAGCATATATACTGTGGGTATAGAAAAGAATCCCCCCCAAAACACAAAGCCATTTGACTTTCATCTGTGATCAGCTGTGGTCATTTTGATTAGCTCAGCATGAAAAGAGCTTTCCTGGAGCATTTCAGTCCTTGTTTCTATTTGTACAAACCGCTGCACATTCATGTAATTCTGAATTTTACAGACACAAGTTGACAGACATTTGGATGTGGATAGTACGATACATTTGGAACATTTATCAAGTTCAAGGATAATTGTGCATGCATTTGTTAGTAAATTTGAGACTCATTTCATCCCATACTTCTGTGTCACTATAGAAACGTCCTGTTCTGACCTCCAGCTGAACAAGTTCCTCCTCCTCTCCGAGAATTAACGGTCTCTCTCCACAAACTTAATTTACTGGATTTAATGAAACAAGTTAATACTAACATTATTGTAGCCACAGACCTGGAAGAGTAAAATACTTGTTTTATTGTTCAGGTAAGAGCTGTAATTCTGTATTTTCATTATACCAATTTCTCACTATAAGAACTTCGTTTGCATGTCATTTTAGTTTGAAGCTTCATGAATCCAGTATTTCATGTATTTAGTTTAATGTCACAAATTATACAGAGCACTGGCATTCAACTTCTATTACTAAACATAGAGGAGCATGATGTGCGTCAACCTTATCTGTCTGTCAACCAAGTTCAGCAGAATCATTTTAACTGGTTTATGCTTAAATATAAATCGAAAATACTTGATAACCCCTCTTACAAACCTTAGCCAGTTCAACTTCTGTTCAAACAGGACAGGACTTCCTTTCCCCCCTTGTCATTGTGGTGGTGGGACATCAAGCGACAGGTCTGCTGAGTGCTGACCAGTGTTGGCAGCTGATTTTCAGGGGAAGTTGCTAAAGGAAGGTCGATTTGTTGCTAAAAGTTGCTAAATGACGTTGTGATGTCATTGCGCGATGACGTCATTACGTAATCACGACGCAAAATTGTGCCACTACATCAAATCTCAGCAAAAATATATTTTATATGTTAATTTAGCGTAAAATATTATAAATGCATAATATAATGTTAAAATATACTATATATAGTATATATATACTAAATATATATAACTATTTTTATATACAACATTGAACACTTTTGAACAATTACATTTTTTAACAATTACAAGTTTTTTTATTAGCTAGTAAACTAGTAAAACTACAAATTCTGAACAATTATAGTTTTAAGCAGTGTATTAGTAGTCAGTATGCGCCACTCTAAGAAAATAAATCACAGGTTTTTACCTGCATTTTAAATTATGCATTGTATTTTGTGTTTTCAGGTTACATGGTTACAACGGATAATGGATAATGGATAATGGATAATGTCCTGGAAAATTACTTGTACCTTTTTTCTAGATATTTTTCTTACAGTGTACTAACTGATCAACAATCACATGTACAAGCTACTAACAAGGTGTATCATAAATGAACAATTATTAAATTATTATTGTTATTATCAAATTGAACAACTGCAAATAGCAATAACTTAATTCATGTGATGTATGTACTTCTAGGCATCTTTGGTTTCCTCTGTTTGTGAAATTTAGATGGAAAATGTGTG